CTGGATAAGGTAACCTTGGTTGTAGGTTCTTGGCATTCATCACCCAGAATATTTCCTCCCACCCCCTTCTGGCCTGCAAAGTTGCTGCTCAGAAATTAGCTGATAACCTGATGGGAGCTCCCTTTTATGTGACTTGTTGATTGACTCTTAGTACCTTCAAGATTATCTCTTTATTTTTAACTTTTGCTATTTTAATTACAATTACCCACTTGGAATGAGTCTCTTTGGGTTCATCTTGTTTAGAACACACTGTTTGCTGGACCTGGATGTCTCTTTCCTCCCCCAGCTTAAGACAGTTGTCAGATATTATATCTTCAAAATACACTTTTTGCCCATTTCTGTCTTGTAGGATATGTATAAGGCAATGTTAGCATGCATATTTGATGTACTGATTGCTCTCCTGCCCTAATCTGTTTTCATTCAAAAATATATTTTGTTGGTGCTTTGATTGGATGATTTTTACTATTTGTTTTCAAAGTTGCTAATCCATGTAAATTAACTAGTCTGTTGTTTATTATTTCTAGTATGTTTTCCATTTCAGTTATTGAATTCTTCTACTTTTCTGCATAAAGAAGACCCTCTAATGTTTTATGAAGTGCTGGTTTGGTGATGATGAACTTCTTTAGTTTTTGCTTGTTTGGAAACTCATATTTTTTCCTTTAATTCTGAATGATCACCTCGCTGGGTATAATATTCTGCATTGTACTTTCACACCGCACCTCCGGTTCATCTTGTTTAGAACACACTGTTTGCTGGACCTGGATGTCTCTTTCCTCCCCCAGCTTAAGACAGTTGTCAGATATTATATCTTCAAAATACACTTTTTGCCCATTTCTGTCTTGTAGGATATGTATAAGGCAATGTTAGCATGCATATTTGATGTACTGATTGCTCTCCTGCCCTAATCTGTTTTCATTCAAAAATATATTTTGTTGGTGCTTTGATTGGATGATTTTTACTATTTGTTTTCAAAGTTGCTAATCCATGTAAATTAACTAGTCTGTTGTTTATTATTTCTAGTATGTTTTCCATTTCAGTTATTGAATTCTTCAGCACTGAATGAATGTGTGTGTGTGTGTGTAATTGACTTTTTTACAGAGAGAAAGGGAGAGGGATAGTTAGAAACATTGATGAGAGAGAAACATTGATTAGCTGCCTCCTGCACACCCCCTACTGGGGATGTGCCCACAGCCAAGATACATGCTCTTGACCGGAATCAAACCTGGACCCTTCAGTCCACAGGTCGATGCTCTATCCATTGAGCAAAACCAGTTAGGGCTCTTATAATTTTTAACTCTTTATTGAAGTTCTTTGTTTCTCTATTTTAAAATTGTTGGGCTTTCTTATGACCGTTTCTTTAATTCTTTATCAGGCAAATTACCAGTGCTACATTCTTAAGAGTTTATTTTGTCTCCTTATTTTGCAAGAGTTTCTGTGTTTCTTTCTGTGAGTTAGGTGAAATGACTATCTCTCCCAATGTTGAAAACATTGCTTTGTATAGTAGTGAATTTATTAGACTGTGTGCTGGATGCTTTTAGGCTGGTTGAAGTCAGATCAACCATCTGTAATAGTGGGTGCCACTGGCCAGGAGGAGCATTCATGGGCAAGATGGCCTGATGACTGTTTGATTAATTGTGCCCATCTGATCTAGGTGGTGAGTCCCTGTTGGTGACTCAATAGCACTCTTCCTGGATCAAGAGTAGACCCATTCCTATTATTTGACTGCTGCTTGAGCCCAGTCTCTGTTGGGCCCCCTTGTGTGTGTGTGTGTGTGTGTGTGTGTGTGTGTGTGTGTGTGCACACTCCACTGTATCATGCTGGTTCCCTCTCATACAGCAGGGCTGCTCTGTGTATATGTAGCAGTGGGTTGGTCTGTGTGTGTCTCAACGCCTTATTGGATCCATTGGACCTTGTTCACTTGCTATAGTGCCATTTTGTTTCTTTTTGAGCTAGCTTCAGGAGAAACACTATTGCAGTCGTGCAGATTAATCAGAATCACTGGATAGAACTCACATCTGAGCTATCCAAGTTGGAGGAATGCAAAGAATGCCACACACTTGTTCCTTTAATTTTGATGGGTTCTCCAATGGTCTCTCTCTCTTCTGTGTGTGTTTGTTCAGTTGTCTCTCAGAGCTTTTATGTTCACATTGTTATGTGTGTTGGACCTACCTTCTTGTTTTTTGTGTGTTTTTTTTTTTGTATAGCATTATTTCTCCAACATTGTTATGTAGTATATTTTATTTTTCTCAATGTAATTTACAGAACCAGTTTTGAGTAGCCATTTATTGGTAAACGTTTTCTATCTGTTCTTACTTACATAAATAAAAATGTACATGTGACATGATTTTTAAATATTCTGAAAAATTGTGATTGCTCTAAGGACCTATTCTAAGGGATTCTTTGTTTTGTGTGTGTGTGTGTGTTTAAACTAAATCTATCATGCTGTACCAAATCTCTAATTTTAAAGCTTTGTGCCAAGGTAATAACCTACCTGTGGTGGAAGACTTACAAGCATTTAAAGTATGTACCAATTTCAACTTGGGATGTTTATAGGAGTTAACAGGTGTAGGTTGTTAGGGGACGTTACATTTTTTAAAATAGATGTTTTTATTAATTTTTCTTATAATCTTTGTGAGAACGGGGAGTAATTTATAGAGGAACTAAAGGTAGTAGTAATGACAATAGCTAATATTTATTGCTTGTCACTTGATACTGACTTATTTGCAAGCATTTGTGTTTCATACAGTTCTTGAAACCCAGTGACTTAAAGGCACTTTTGTTTCATTTAGTTTATAGTATAATAATGACCCTTTTTTCCCCATTAATTTTCAGGTCACCAAGAAAATAACAACTTCTGTTCTGTTAACATAAACATTGGTCCAGGTGATTGTGAATGGTTTGTCGTTCCTGAAGATTATTGGGGTGTTCTGAATGACTTCTGTGAAAAGTGGGTTTTTGAACTTTCAAAATAATTTTGAAAAACATCTTTTATAAAGGACAAAAGCATGATGCTGAATTTCAATTTATAGTTTAGCAGAAATTTTATTTTAAATTATCCTATTTCAAATTGTTTATTTTATATTATTTGGAATAATATATGAAAGGCCATGAAACCAGAAGTAGTAATAGGCATGAATTCAGAAGACAAAGAGTGAATTATTTCTTATGTTAATTTTTTAAATTGTTACCTGAATCTACATTCATTTGACAAGTGTGCTTTAAGAGAAGTTTAGCTTCCTGTAACTGAATTTAAAAATTGTAAGAATTCTAAAATTAAGTGCTCTTTTACTTTGTTAATGTGTATCTTTTTGAATCAGCTAAAATTTTCACTTGTCCAACAGTAAGCAAATCATCTGCTATTTTCAGAGTGGATAATGATACTAGTATAATCATGTAAATTATTGGTATAACCATGAAATTATATATATATATATATATATATATATATATATATATACATATATACTTATAATGATAAAAAAATTGGATGAAATTCTCATAATACACCTCAGATTATTTTTAAATCAATACACATTAATTTTTTAACATTTTGGAGGGTTTTATCAATATATTTTATTTAGTAAAAAGTACATCATAGTGGCGAAAATAATAATATTCCTTTACTGGCACTTTTTTTTTTAATTACCACTCAAGGATATGTTTAGAGAGAGTGGAATGTGGCAGGGGAGAGAGAGAGAAATCCTTGTGAGAGAGAAATGTCGATCAGTTGTCTCTCATCTGGGCCCTGACCAGGGTTTAAACCCACTGTTTGGGTGTGTGCCCTGCCCAGGAACCAAATCCAAAACCTTTTTTGTGTATGGTACCACACTCCAATCAGCTGAATTACGTGGCCAGGGCAAGATAGGATTACTTTTAAAATTTTGTTTTATGTCTATGTTTTCCTCATGCTGAGGTGAAATTTAAAAGAATTTTTTAGGAAAATAATCTTATATCTGAAATTTATCAGCAAACTAGAAGCTTAAGCAAAGAAAAGAGAATTGAGTCTTCAAATTTAAAAAAATGTATATTGTAGTATTTGTTATACATTAAGTACACTGGTTCTTACTATATTGGGTGGGAACTATTTTCACACAGACAGGTGAACCAGGTCACAAATAGTTGGAAAAGTCAGGTGATGTCCCAGAAGTTTGAATTCAGAGTAATAAATAAATCAAGTTAGAATGATTCACTTGTCTAAATTGTAAAAATGACACTTTTCATCTCAGCTTTTGCCTGTAGTGTTATATTCCATAAAGATAATTGCTTTCAATGTTTATAATTCCTATTTTAATTTTATGACACTATGAAACATTTATCTTTCAATTATTTTTCTCAACTTTAGAAAAAAAATGATCAATTGAACTTCGTTGGCTTTCCTTTCTTTAAATGGAAAGTTTTTTCCAACTTTATATTGGTAGTGTTTGGGTAAATAGAACTAGCTTGTACTGTCATTTTTTCAGAGGAAGGATAGAAATAAAGTAAAAACATCTTAAATTGTCAGAAAGGTATAGTTCTATCATATGAATTTCCTCTCCTTGAGAATAGATAATTTGAAGTACCTAAAGTCTACATTATTAAATTCTTTTTAGAAAGAAATTGTTAATGTCATTACTTAATCTTGTGATGGAGAGTAGTAAATAATTAAAATTTAAAATAAAGCTTAATAATTTGTTTTGTTTGTGTTGGTGGTGCTGGTAGTGCGACCTTCTAGCAATTCATGGGAGAAAGTAGAAAATAGAAAAAGTGTGGATCCATTGATGAATTAAGGGAAGGTTCTTGTTATATCTACCACAGTGATTCTGATTAAGAAGTTTAATTGGCTTTATGTAGTCTTCAATCTCAATTTCCTTTTCAGGAATTTTAGATAATAAAGAGATTCTTCAGGAAGAAGGGATAAATCAGACTATTCTTTATTGAAAGCAAATTATAAACCAGAATAGCTAAGTATAATGTTGGACTGTAATTTTTGGTTTTGAGAAATGTAAATGTAAGCATATTGTAAAGATCTTTGAATAAATCTCCCTGCTCTTGCCTGCTGTTAATTTTGTTTTAAAGCCCTCACTTTTGAAAAATGTAGTTCTCATTGCACTGCTGTTAAATTTTAATGAAGTATGCCCTGAAAGCTTTTTAATATTTTGAAATTATTTCCACATGTTTGATGAAACATTGAAAATTTATTACCTGTATTTTTCAGAAATAATTTGAATTTCCTAATGAGTTCTTGGTGGCCCAACCTTGAAGATCTTTATGAAGCAAATGTTCCTGTATACAGGTTTATTCAAAGACCTGGTGATTTGGTCTGGATAAATGCAGGCACTGTGCATTGGGTTCAGGCCATTGGCTGGTGTAACAATATTGCTTGGAATGTTGGTCCACTTACAGGTATTTTAAACAATTCTTTAATAGATTTTACATGTTGAAGGGTTTTTCTAACGTAGATACTGTTTTTCTACTAGCAAATAGCTCACTAAAAATGGAAAGGTGTGTCTGCTAGAAAAAATTGAAGAGTGCAAAGAGTAAATTGAAGTTAAGAAATGGATATTCATGAACAGATGTTCAAAATGTCTATTTTGTTTTTATAAAGGAAGGTTATTCTATGGACAAAACTGATTATTTAGAATTTTTATTTCCTCTGGTATACCATATGTGCTGTCTTAAAACATCAAACTGTTAAATATGGATAACTTAAAGAATCTGGCCTTTAGAGCTAAAAAGACCTTAATGATATCTTCTTGGTTCTACTTTTGTTAAACCATGTAACTTAAGGAAAATGTTTAGAATTTTCCAGAGCCTCATTTATTGCTTTTTTAATCTGCAAAATGAGAATTGTAAAGTCAACAAGGCTTTGAAATAATGAAATGAGATAAAGTATAAAAAGCGTGGCACAGACGTGAACCTTAGTAAGTGCTCTTTACAGGATAATTTTTTTAAAACTATAATTATCATTTAAAAATCCTCTAATATTTTGAGTTTTCTAGAATCAGTATTAAAGTTATCACCTGAAAGGTGATAAATGATTATCTTTATATCTGTCATACTTTGGGTTACTTTATACCTTTGAAAAATTCTTTTTCTCCTAGCCTGCCAGTATAAATTGGCAGTAGAACGGTATGAATGGAACAAATTGCAAAGTGTGAAGTCAGTAGTACCCATGGTTCATCTTTCTTGGAATATGGCTCGAAATATCAAAGTCTCAAATCCAAAGCTTTTTGAAATGATTAAGTAAGTGCTTTTCAAAACTGCTATAGGGGTAAAGGGATGGGTGTATAACTAATCAATTTTTCCCCCACACTGAAAAATGATAAAATAGTTGACAAATGCTAAAATAGTTCTGAAGTTTTGACCAGAAAATGTAATAAGGCAATTCACATATTAAAGATATTTTCTTCCATAAATGAAAATATTTATGCATAAATGTATTTTCTTTCCAAATAGACTATATTTATTATGGTATAGAGAGGAATTAAGGTATACATGATTCTATACTAAATTCATACATCTATGCTTTCTATTAACCTCTGACCAAACTGATTTCCAATGACCTTGATTTTGTTTTTTGTTTGTTTGTTTGTTTGTTTGTTAATCCTCACCCAAAGATATCTTTTCCATCACTTTTCAGAGACAGTGGAGCGGAGGGGGAGTGGGGAGAGAAAGAGAAACATATATAGGAGAGAAACATTATCTCCTACACTCAGGTGGGGAGCGAATCTGCATCCCAGAAATGCACCCTTAACGTCTGGTGCACAGGTTGCTGTCCTAACCACTGAGCACCATGGGCCAGGGCTGTTTTAATATTTGAAGTTTGCCTACACCAATTGAGAATGAGAATATAATACATATATTCCATAATAAAATTGTCACTTAGAATACTGATTTTACTGAAATGGTAAAATTTTTTGGCTGCTCTAATTAAATAATCCCTTTCTTAGTTTCCTGATGCACTCATTACAAATTTAAAGATTATCAGTTTGAATTATATGTATTCTAGTAGCTTCGCTTTTATTTGCCTAGTTTCTATTCCTTAATTTTTTTAAGAAGACAGTAGGTCCTTGAGTTACGTCAGAGATCCGTTCCTATAGCATGTCGTAATGCGATTTTCACCGTAAGTCAGAACCCACCTACATAAGCACCTACATCACTCACATGAAGCACATATCCAGCAGTAATGAAGTGAAACAGTAAAAAAAAAAAAAAATTAATGGAAAGAAAACAATTCCTGACCTTTACTTGTGGTAAATAAATAATAAAAAACAAATGGACACATGTACATATGTGGAAATGAGGGAACTTTTTTTTTTAATAAATAAACTAGAGGCCTGGTGCATGAAATTTGTGTTGTGGGCGGGGGTTCCCTCAGCCCAGCCTGCCCCCTTTGTGGGAGGCAACCAGGTGGGCAATCGGGATGGAACCAGCCTCCATCGCCCGCTGCCACTGGTTGCCGCCCCCCGCCCCCCCTCCAGCCCACTCCATCGCCATCCGCTCCCTCTGCCTGCTGGCATGCACCTTGCCTGGCCTGGTGACACCTGCTTGCCGCCAACCCCGCACCCCACTGACTGGTTATTCCCCTGTTTGGTCGATAGCATATTACACTTTTATTATATTCTCATTCTCAATTGGTAAGGGCAAACTTCAAATATTAAAACAGCCCTGGCCCATGGGGCTCAGTGGTTAGGACAGCAACCTGTGCACCTGTATTATTATATAGGATTGCTTTAGTTGGAGGAAGGTTTATCCACCAAAATGAGCTCTAGAAGGAGTGGTTTTCAAGGTGTGGCCCTACATTTTAACAGGCAACCCAGATGAGTGTTATGCATTCTATTTGAGCGGATCTCTTTTGAAGAGTGACACTTCAGTGAAGAGACATTGGCTCATTAAAATTATGCCTCTGGCATGACATTCAGTATCTGATTTTTATTATTAAAAATTGAGCACCCAATATCTCTTTATCAATCTATATAGGCTCATAATGTTTCCACATCTTGAAAGTCCCCATACTCACAGAGCATTGAGTAACTTCAATAAGTATTTTTAAGAGATCATGCAGGAAAGCTAATTCAGGTGATAGGAATGTGTAGATAATATCATAGTTTAGGAGAAAAGATGGTATATTAGACTTACATAGTGGTGGCTGAAGGCAGAAAAAACAAACATTGCAGCAAAGAAAGAGCACTAAGTCTGTCTTCTGCCCTAGTTGTTTGGCTATTGCTGAATTAAGCAAGCTTCCTTCACTGTTCCTTTTCCTTGATACCTTCTCCCAGTTATTAGAATCACCCATTCAACCAAGTTGCCCAAACTGGAGAATCTGGGCTAATACCATTTGTTTTGTTTGCTTTCATCCCTATGTAATCAGCCAATAGTTCTGTCAGGTTTTCTCATAAATATGTCTCTGATCCACTGCCTCTGCCTAGTCCTAGTCCCCAACATCAGTCTCCCTTTTTCTTGGGCCCAAAAACACTGCAGCTGTCTAAATTGATCCTTCCCACAGCCACCAGAATGGTTAACCTAAAATGAAAGCAAGACCCAGGTGCTCCCATGCTTGACATTCTTTACTTTTCTTCCTCCTGTGTGGTCTGCCCTCTGCCTGCTTCTCAGGCTGCCGCGGACCCAGGCCTGACTGCCTCCATGGGCAGCCAGGACCGAGCCTGATTTCCGCCCCAGAAGCTCCCTGCTTCCCTGCCTGTATCTGTTCCGGGGCTGTGGAGCCTGGGCGGTGGCTCAGCCAGCCTCAGGCTCCCTGTGGCCCCCAGGCCTGTGTCCGCTCTAGGGTTGCCCAAGCCAGCGCGGCAGCTCAGGCAGGCCTCCCTGTCTCTGTCTCCGTCTCCGTCTCCGTCTCCGACTCTGACTCTGACTCTGACTCTGACTCTGTCTTGGCTCCAGGCCTCACCTGAGCGCACAGCCTCCTTTTGTGTCGTGATTGTTATGGCGGCCCGGCCTAATTTGCATATTACCGCTTTTACATATATGAGATGGCAATGTAACCACAAAACGACTTATGTCAAGTCCGAGGTAACCCGAGGACTGCCTGTAGTTTATTTTTGGCCCTAGCTGGTTTGACTCAGTGGATAGAGCGTTGGCCTGTGGACTGAAGGGTCCCAGGCTGTACTCTGGTCAAGGGCTCATGCCCTGGTTGTGGGCTCCATCCCCAGTAGGGGATGTGCAGGAGGCAGCCGATCAATGATTCTTTCTCATCATAGATGTTTGATCTCTCCCTCTCCTTTCCCCTCTAAAATCAATATAAACATTTTTTTAAAAAAGAGAATACTTCCTAAACCAGCAGTCAGAAATTCCTCTCACAATCCTTGACCGTTGCCTCCTAATTACTCACCTACCTGCCTGCCTGGTCACCCCTAACTGCCCCTCTGCCAACATGGTTGCCCCTAACTGACCCCTGCCGATCAAACCCCCAACCTCGGCATTTGTCCTCGACTAGAATCGAATTGGGGACTGCAGTCCACAGGCCAACCAAAACTCTACCCACTGAGTGAAACCAACTGGGCTCACAAACTGTTCTTATAGATGAGAAAAGATACTCCACTGTATAAAACAGAGACTCTGCCTTTGTGTGATGTAAATTCTAGTGAGTCAGATAGACAAACTCCCAGACACATGAACAAGTTACTGTTAAGTAATATGAGTGAAATAAAATAGGACAATTCTTATTTTCTGATTTGAGAGGTAGAGAATGCTGCTTTGTTAATGTGTCTTCTGAGATCATCTTTGCTATGCTTGCATCTAAGTAGTGAAAAGGAGACAACCTTAAAAGACCCAAGAGTAAAAACATTGTACACCCCCAAAGTAAGTGAAAGGCTTTGGTGTATTTACAGGACAGAATGACCAATGTGACTGTAGCAGAATGACAGAAGGGAATAAACAGATGGGGTGATTTCACATAAGTGTTCAGGTACCAAATTATAGATGGATTTATAGGCAATGGTAAGAACTTTGGATACTAATTCTGATTATTATAGACTTATTAAAGGATTTAAATAAGGAAAGGGCTAGATTCTTTTTTATATTTTAAAAATACAAAGCTATTATTTAATGGCAAATGGATTGCAAGATGCAAGATTGGAACTAGAGAACATGCAATTGCAACACTCTAATTTGCATTGAGATTGTAGCAAAGGAAGTAGTAAGAAGGATCTCAGTGCAGCCCTGACTGATATGACTCGGTTGGAGTGTTGTCCTATGCACCAAAAGATCACTGTTTCTTTTTTTTTAATTTTTATTTTTTTATATTTTATTAATTTTTCACAGAGAGGAAGGGAGAGAGATAGAGAGTTAGAAACATCGATCAGCTGCCTCCTGCACACCTCCTACTGGAGATGTGCCTGCAACCAAGGTACATGCCCTTGACTGGAATCGAACCTGGGACCTTTCAGTCACAGGCCAATGCTCTATCCACTAAGCCACACCGGCTACGGCAAGATCTATGTTTCTATCCCCAGTTAAGATGAGTGTGGGAGACAGGGGAGCCAATCAGTGTTTTTCTCTGTCCCTTTCCCTTCCTCACTTTCTAAAAAACAATTAAAAATAAATATGGGGGAGGGGTAGACTGGAGGAAGTCAATGGGGGGAAAGAAAGGGGAAATATGTAATACTTTGAACAATAAGAAATTATTTTTTAAAAATAAAAATATATTTTTTTAAATATAAAGGCTAAAAATTATTTTTTTATAAAAGAAAGGTTCATAGAGCAGACTGTTGTGAAGTTTAAGCCTTAGGGCTTATTCACAGATTGGATAGTGAGATAAGGAAAAATCAATCAAGAAAAGATGGTTATAATGTCTTGTTTTTACTTTTTTTGGTCAATTTAAAATATCTTTTAACTTCTGTCATTTTTTTCCTCTACACTACTCTCATCTGTAATATCCTTGTAGAACCTCTTCCACTTTAGAAGGGTCGCTCTCAATATTTGAAACTCGGTATTTGAAACCTGGTGGCTAAGACTTGCCTTCCACGAACTAGAATGTTCCCATTTTTTTCTGTGGTGACAATTTAAATTGCATTGTCTTTGTTCTGGCAGTTGTCTTTGTGTTGAATTTGAATATACAAATTTAGCTTGTCTTCTACTTAAAATACTGGAAATATTTTCCTTACACAATTTTTTTAAAAACCTGATTCTGTGTATATTTCTGTGGTACATTTCTCCTTGAGTTAATTTGGTTTTTGTATGTATGTATGTATGTATGTATGTAGAAAAAGCCTAGGTTGAGCAGGCTTGAACATAGGGAATTAGTGCAGCCAGGATTCCACCTCTGTGTGGCATATGAGATGTGTGCTTGGGGAGGCTTCCCTCCCACCTACATGTGGGCATTGAGACCTCTCCTGGGGAGTCACTGGAGAAAAGGGCATAAAATTTTTACCTGAGGATACTTTTTTGTTGACTTTTTTTAGAGAGATAGAGAGGAAAGGGGAAAGAGAGAGAAACAATAATGTGAGAGAGACAGTCAGACGGGTTCCTTCCCACACACACCCCAACTGGGGCCAGGGATGAAGACTACAATTAAGGTACGACTGGGAATCAACCCAACCACCAGGAATGGAGCCGGCCTCTATTGGGGCGGGCTGGCTGGACCCCACCAGTGCACACATTTGTGCACCGGGCTTCTAGTAGAACAATAAAATCAAAATTGATTAAAATTTAAATGTTGACTCAAAACCATAAAACTCCTATAAGAAAACATGGGTGTAAAATCTCAGACATGTCCTTTAGCAATACTTATTCTGAAATGCCTCATTGGGTGAGGAAAACAAAAGGAAAAATAAATCTGAATAAAAGTTTTTATACAGTAAAGGGGACAAACAAAATAAAAAAGACAACCCACTGCCCTAGCCTTTTGGCTCAGTGGTTAGAGTGTCGGCCTATGGACTAAAGGATCAAGGGGGAGTACTTCAGTTGCAGGCTTGATCCCCAGTCCCAGCTGGTGTGCAAGCAGGAGGCAACCAGTTAATGTATGTCTCACATCACTGTTTCTCTCTAACTGTTTCTCTTTCTCCCTTCCATTTTCTCTTAAAAAAAAAAAAATCAATGGAGCCAAACTGGTTTGGCTCAGTGGATAGAGCGTCAGCCTGCAGACTCAAGGGTCCCAGGTTCGTTTCCGGTCAAGGGCATGTACCTTAGTTGCAGACACATCCCCAGTGGGAGGTGTGCAGGAGGCAGCTGGTCGGCGTTTCTCTCTCATCGATGTTTCTAACCCTCTATTCCTCTCCCTTCCTCTCTGTAAAAAAATCAATAAAATATATATTTTTTAAAAATCAGTGGAAAGAAAATATATCCTAGGGTGAGTATTAACAACAGCAACAACAAAAATGACAACCATGTGAATGGGAGAATATATTTGCTAAAGGTATATCAGATAAGGAGTTAATATTCAAAATTTATATAAAATTTATAAAGATTATGTAAAGTGAAGTCAGTGAGAATGATAGAAATTGAAGAAAAGAAAGTATAGAGAAGATAGTGTCTTTATTATTCATACTTGTTTTAATAATTTTAATAAAATATATAATTTTAATAAGTTTGTATATCTTAAAATAAATTTATCCAGCTTCAAGACTTGGTTGGAACTTCTTCCTGTGCACTGAACTGGTTCCAGGTTCAATTCCTGTCGGGGCATATAACCTGGGTTTTAGGTTTGATCTCTGGTTGGCACATATGATATTCTTTGGTGAGGATTAAAACTAATAATTTTATCCTAGACATATTTATACGGTTTTGGTTTTTTGAAAAATAGTTAAACTTGACAAGTAAAAATAGCATAGAAATATAAATTAAAAGAAGTTAATCCCTTTATTAATGATTATATTATGAAGTTTATTTAGTAATCAAATATGTTAGTAACAATAAGATGTATCAAAAAGCTCCAAGTTTTTTTTTAAAAGGCTCCAAGTTATAATGGGTCTGCTTACCTGAGATAATACTGGCCATAAACATTGTCATTTTTGTTAAACCACTTTCATGCTTTTTAGGATAACTTTAGAGCTGGTATGAGCCTTATAAATCAGCCTAGTGTAACTGCCTTCAAAGGAGAACTGCATGGGAGATTTATATATTCATAGAAACTTCAGCAGATGATTCTGAGCAATGAGAACAAATTATAGAAAATGAACACTTTGTGAAATTCACTATATTGTTGGCATCAGAATTACTAATGTAAAGAAAGTGTAAATTAGCCCGGGCTGGTTTGGCTCAGTGGATAGAGCATTGACCTGCGGACTGAGGGGTCCCAGGTTCGATTCCAGTCAAGGGCATGTACCTTGGTTGCCGGCACATCCCCAGTGGGGAGGGTGCAGGAGGCAGCTGATCGATGTTTCTAACTCTGTCCCTCTCCCTTCCTCTCTGTAAAAAATCAATAAAATATATTAAAAAAAAGAAACCATAAATTATAGAAAATTTATGGTAATATAAATGAATTCCATTATACTACCTTCAAATTAAAATTGAACCAATAATCTTTTTCCTTTGGTACTCTATTTAATTTCATGTCCTCAAATAACTTAAATCCATCAATAATTTTCTGGTTTGGTCTCAGAGTATTACAATTAATTATGTATGTGATATTGTTTGTGAGTGTCCCACTGGAAACATATGCTTACTATAGTAAAAACAGTTTCAACCTGGAATTCAGACTATATTTCAAAGATAAAGAGGTTCAATCTTAGAATAAATAGTTCTTTCAACTGTCCAGATCAGAGCAAAAATTGAGCAAAGCTTTAAATAAGTGTCAAGGTTTTGTAGACTAAGATTATTATATTTTTATATTCAAATATCAATTTTCAACTTAGTCCTTTAATATTATCATTATTAGGCCATTATATAGCAAAAATTGAGAAGGAAATTTTGATATCAATATACCATAGAACCAAGATTCTAAAAATTATTTCTTGTTGGTACATCATGTATGCTAAGAATCTTCAGCACTCACCTGTCTTGAAAATTTTTCTCCACAATAGGTATTGTCTTCTTAAAGTACTAAAGCAATGTCAGACATTGAGGGAAGCTCTTATTACAGCAGGAAAAGAGGTTATATGGCATGGGAGGACAAATGATGAGCCAGCCCATTACTGTAGCATTTGTGAGGTAAACATTCTTATTGACAGTTGTTTTATTGTGAATTCACTAGTTGGTTTTTATAAAATTATAAATTTACCTATACTTTTATGTAATGCATTTTATTGAAATTGACTATTATTTGATTGTATAATCACTTCATTATGTATTAACTTAGCAGTATTTCCTACAGAAGCATTCATGTAGTAGTACTTCCTTGCTAGGTGATAATCATCTCTGATTTTCAACTAAGAATAATCCTATATAATAAAAGGCTAATATGAAAATTTCCCCCTTGACCAGGAGTTCAACCAGGGGGAAGGGCCGGCCGGCCAATCACCCAAGGCTCCTCGCCCTGGCCAGACCCCACCTGTGCACAAATTTGTGCATTGGGCCTCTAGTCATAATAAGTATACCAGTGCCAACAAATTAGATCTGTTTCACTATAAATTCAAACAAATCAGCATTAAATTATTTATATGTATGTTGATTTTTCTCTTGTGGCAATGGCTTGCAAGAAGTACAGTAATAAAGTTTTGGTACCTCCCCTGGAGGGGCTTACATTTTATTTGGAGAAGACATATTATAAACAACTAATCATAATGCCCATAAGACTCTTGATAGAAAACTGTCATAGAAAACTTAAGGAGAAAATCTTTTTTCTAATATTGGCATAAGATGCCTGTGGACTTGTTAACATTTGAGTTTCTCCTTGAAGAATGAGTTTATTTCTACAGGCATTAAGTAGCTAGAATTGGAGGTTTATACATCATTAGGCTTTAGGAACAGAATAGTGATGGGGAAATTAATAGTGCGTGTAATAAAGTCTGATACTGCAATGTGCCTAGAAAATTGTACTGCAAGGTTTTAGAAGAAGTCTTTAAGTGGAGGCTGTATGTAGCCAACAAAAGCATCTTAAATTCAGTTTAAGGAATTTGGTTTTTATCTCAGGATATTGATGCCATTAACATTTTTTGACCAAAGCACTAAGTCAAAATATGTTTGAGGGAGTGGTGATTCATGATTGGAAAGAATGGAGGTAGAAAGAAAGCTCATTTTGGAGGCCATTGAAGTAGTTTTATATTCCTTACACTACATAATGTTAGGAATATAAAAGAAAAGAACTTTATAAGTGTTTAGAAAATAAAATCCACAGGTTCATGATTTGATAGTGAAGTTGAAAAATCCATACTTACCAAGTTGAAAAATCAGAAAACTTTCAACTGGGTCACTAAGCTATTTTACTTCCTATAAGAAACCTATGAACTCTGGAATTTTAGCAGAGCTATTCAAGGATGATTTAAGATAATGAATTTTTATTATTGACAAAACCAAGCAGAAGTCTGAGAACCACTTGACTAGAAAATCAGTTTTACACTAAACTTGTAAATTGTATACTTCTGAGATAAATTCATGAAATCCATTGGTTTCATTTAATGTATATCCTTACCAACATGTATAAGATTAAACAGATTATGTTTAGGTGTTATACTTCAGGTAAATATGTATCTTTTTGGTATTTTAAAATAAATGATATACAGTATCTGTCAACCATTATTCAGGCTGAGCCTTTGCAACTCATTCTTTTTGTATGAGATTCTTTAATGTTTTTTGTATGTTAATGCTCATAATACTTTCTGTACTATTTTCTTTACTATGAGTCTTAGAAGTGAACATTTGTTGTTTATATTCATTCAAGTGGTTTTCTTTTCTTGTTTTTGTTTGTTTTTAAGCACAATGATAGGCACTAGAGAGGGCCAAAAATGAATAATATATAGTCGCTACCTTTGTGGAGCTTAGTATGGGAGGGAGACATATCCAAACACTGTGAATACTATTATAGAGAAGTTAAAAGAAAAAATAATGACTTGATTATTTGTGTATTATATTTGAGGAAAATAAAAATAGACTGACTTTTATCAAACTTAAAATTAATCTAGAATTAAACTAGTAGATGTAATGAGTATTTAATTCCCTTAGGTTAGTATTTAAATATGTAACATTAACTTCATTTTGCATGTGCTACAAAATAAACCTGGTGTTAAAAGAAACAACCATGGGTTTTTAAGTAATTGCATTCAGTGAAATCACTATCCAGAGTTTTAGATAAAGTAGAATTTCATAGTTACATAAAAGTGGTGCAATACATTTAATAATCTCTATTCATTGTTTTTTTTTTCTCTTGTATAAAATAGGTGGAAGTTTTTGATCTGCTTTTTGTTACTAATGAAAGCAATTCTCAAAAGACCTACATAGTACATTGCCAGGACTGTGCACGAAAAACAAGCAGAAACCTGGACAATTTTGTGGTGCTAGAACAGTACAAAATGGAGGACCTAATGCAAGTCTATGACCAGTTTACATTAGTAAGTGAAATCAACATATGAGTACATAGCTAGGTTGTGAGCAGCAGTGATGGTAATTAGGAAGATATTTAAGTTTTCCCATTTCATAAAGAGAAAATATTTCTGTGTTCTCAAACTTATAAGCAGCTTATATGTAATAAATTGATATGTATTACTATTTCTTAGGCCTAAATAGTACGAAAAAAATAAACTTTAAATTTGTGAATACTTTTTTTAACAATTTTTTTTTAACTTCAGAGCTAGAAACATCAGTAATGAGAGAGAATCATCAATAGGCTGTCTCCTGTGCCATGACCAGGGATCAAATTATGACATCTTGGCTCAAGCACTGAGCCAAATTGGCTGAGCATTTTTTCTGAACTTTTAAATTATTATCATCGTCTTTATGCTCTCTGATTTAAATAATTAAACCAAAATAGATAACGGTAGGAATGATCCAAAAAGAAATCAGTATTTTTAAAAATATATTTGTGCTTTTAGCATTAATTGTATTTAGTTAAAACTTAGTCATTGCTGTTAAGTAGTAAACTTATAGGAATGTTTGATGATGGCTCATGTCCAGGTTTGATATATGAGACGCATTAAATTTAACTATATTGTGAATTCCACAATTTTTTATTTCAAGGACAAGTTGCTTAGAATAGCATTTAGTACTTCTGGCTTTGAATAATAGCTTTATGAATGCAAACAGTAGTTATACATGAGTTGTTAATATTGATCCAGTTCCATTGCTTTTGCTTCTAAATTTTGAAATTAAGTTTCTGGTATTTTTTACTGGATGGCTCTCAGCATTGCTTCATAAAGAAAAAAATTTATGACATGCATGTCATATATAAGCCAGTTACTTACTAGTGAGATTTTAATTGAATTTTTAAAATTATTTTTCCATAAGACTCTGAGCATCTAAAAAATTTGTGATTTTAATGTTTCATAAGAATTTCTAACAAAGTGATGAAATATAAGAAAATGGGGAGGGGTAGTGATTAAGGAAACTTGGGGGACTAGTCATAATAGACTAGTCATAATAGGAGCACGTCACTTAGCAAGTTCCTGAACTTTGGACATCAGTGTTTGTTTCTAACTCACTTTATAAGTAGGTGGTATATTGCTTATAGCCATGAGCTAGAGAATACTGGTAAGAATTAATATACCAACTAACATACCTTATTTTTAATTTTAGGTTCCTTCAGTATCATCCTCCACTTCTTGATATTGCCCCATGATATTAAATGATGCCTTTTCTGCTCTTCAGGAGAGTTTGCACCAGTGATGTTTCATGAGACTGCTAACTAAAAGCTATTTCTATGCAACCTTCCAAATATAGAGTGTCAATCAACTTGGCATGAGAGCACTACCTGTACTCTCAGCAGATCCAGTTGTACTTAATAATAAACATGTTTCATGGTATCTGACAAAACTGGCAATTTTCAACACCCTAATACTTGACACCTTTTTTTGTTTCTCTATTTCTGGATTAAGAAATTTATTTTTATGTATATTTTACCCTTTTAAGAATTCTTCTGCGGGGCAAAAACAGTTCTAGGTTGTCATTTGTTTGGTTAAGATACCAAATTTATATCTTTGATCAACTTTTTATTAATGTAAAAAATTAGATGAGAATGTTTCTCTACTGCTTTAGTGTATTGATTGGAGGCCAGTCACCAGGATGATTATACTTTTGGCTCCAAATTATTTTTTTTTAATTTAATAGCATAATAGGACACAAAGATAACGGCTTGCACATAGAATAAGAAATAAACTTCAGATTTTTGATTTTTCTTTTTAATTTCATACAGATTCATACTATTTATGAATATATATTTATTGCTTGAAAATACTTGTGAATGGAATGTTGTTGTTTTTTATATTTACCTGCCATGAAATATTAAGGAGTTCTGTCATTTTACACACAACTCCTTTTACATTTTCTATGTATAAATAAAACTATTTAGCATTGTACATAAATGTCTATTAAAATTGTTTAATGTTTAAAGTGTTTTGCACTCTTGAGTTTTAGAAAGTCTTCTGTAAAGATCAAGTTTGTGTTTATTTTCAAATCTGATTACATATATTTTATGTATACATATAAAGACACATGTATAACAAAATATATATTGTATAAACATAAAGCTTTTAAACTTTCACATCTCTGGTAGTTTTTGAGGTGCCTCCTATAAAGTATCACTTACAAAGGTATGTTTATTTTTAAAGTATATCTTTCAGTCTGGTTTAAGTTGCAATTATTGCAGTGATAGCCAGTAAATAATTACTGGCAAACGTATAGTAGAAAACTAGTGACTGAGGGAACATTATGTAGATTTCATAAATTTTGTTTATTCTGTGTTTATTATGAAAAAGAAATTTAGAATGATAGCCTTCATTTGAGGGAACAAATGTATTAAGTAATTACTTTGTTTTTTAAAATTAGATGACTGAAATTTCATGCTTTATTTTTTTGTATAACATATAGGGGAAGGAGGAATTACTCAAATTTTGTATCACAAATTCAGTAAATATTAACAAATTGTATGAAGACTGGTATTTCATATGAACAAATAACTTTAACCATAGTATCTCTCATTTTGTAACAGCTCTGCTTTCTGAGGTATTTGGCCTGTATTTTTGGTAGAGTTCTATAAATTAACTTGTGCAAGTGTTTAAAAGAATTTATAATTCTATCTAGTGAAGTGGCTTGAGGATTTCACATGTAATGAATTATCCTTTTCAATTTTGGAGTATTCTGACTTCCTAGAAAAACATTTGAAGAAAAAAACTTGCATATACTTTATTAAATTAGATAATAACTTTTTAAAAACTCAAATCTCAACAGTAATTTTTATGTATAATAATTTAGAAGGAAATATTTGCAGATCTATTTTATTTTTAACATTTTTGATTTCAGAAAGGAAGGGAGAGGGAGAGAAAGATAGAAATGATAAGAGGGAATCATTGATCAGTTGCCTCCTGCATGGCACCTACTGGAGATCAAGCCTGGAACTTGGGCATGTGCCCTGACCTGCAATCAAACCGTGACCTGGTTCATGGGTTATTGTTCATGGTGTTGCTGTACCAGCAACACCAGCTGGTACAGTATTTCAGACTATAAATACAATAGTGGTTCCATAGCTTTGTTTAGTATCTGCTAAAACAAGTGTGGAAAAGGTGTGACATTTACTTGGTATCTCTCATACACAAAAGGATTTACAATCAAATATGGGGAAATTGTGTAAGTATACCATATACGAGTATTTCTAGGGTTTGTGTTAGAGGACTGGATTAAGACATTTACTGTTCACATCTCACATATGGGAGGTAACTAATTGTGACTTTGGAAAAGTAATGGGTTTTATTTTATTATTTAGGAAGAGACCCCAATCCACAGATTACATTTTAATGGGTTGAAAATTTCTATTGTAGAGTAACATCAGAGTTTTCATAATTTCACAGCACATTACATTAATGTTTTGATGATGCTGGTGTACAGTGTTTATAGTATACTGTCATTTTCTAGGCCTTCCAATTCATTCACCACTTACTCCCTGACTCACCCAGAGCCACTTCCAGCCCTTTAAGAACCTAAACAGGTGTATAATTTTTTTTTTTTACCGTTTGTTCCCTATTTTTACTAGTAAGCTGGGAAAATTCCTGGGCCAGTGGAATGAGAAAACAGACAAGATTATTAAACAAAGCCAAACAATTTGAATTTATAGCCAGCTAGTGAATTGCAAGGTCTGATGTTCCCTAACCCAGGATACTTGAGAGCTAATGATTTATACCTCCTCTCCCAAACAGAGAACAGAGATCCAAGTAATGCCATTTGTGCCAGTCAAGTCCAGGGATGAGTGAAGTCAGGAGAATGAATAATAAATAATAAAATAAATAATAAAAGTAAAAGATCCCTAACTCTTGTTTATGTTCATTTTGATGCATCAGGTTATTAAAAATGCACCTGTAAAGTATCTGCTGAAATGCCCCCTTGAATTGCCACCAGAAGAAGCAAAATAAAAACCCTTAGACAGAAACCCAGTGTGGGCTCTAAAGCATACCTAATGCCACTTTTCCTGGCATGAAGTTTAGTTCCTCCTAAACTCTTAAGGGCCCCCACAAGACTTGGAAGCAGGGAAATAGTGGACAGCTCATCCAGGGCTTACTGCCTACTCTTGTCTCTAAAGACCCTTTTCTCTGACTTCTTGATGAGCTAAAAGCAGCCCTGCTTTGGCTCCCTTGTGTCTCATAACATTCCTAGACACTCAAAGCAGACTACCACCTATGCCCTCCTGTTGCTTCTAACCTGAGTCCTTCATTTGTTTCACTGCTCCAACTTTAATAAATGTACTCTCAAATCACCTGGACTCATAATGTGAAATCTTTCCGTCAGAAACCATACTGCAGGCCAATCCTGGCCTGTCCCTGTCTGGTAACATAAGTACACTCTGGTGTTCACACAACAATAAAAGTAACACATTTTCAGAACTTGGCTGGACTGAGTGCTGCACAGATCTCTTAACTGCTAATATTTTTGTGATTCTCTTTTAACAACTATTTAAATATTACTAATAAAAGTGGACAAACTTTTTCCAAACAAATTAACCACCATAGAACAAAGATTATAAAGTACTAGCACGACATCTGATTTTTTTCTTAACCACTTTTATTTTGTTACTTATAACACATCTATTGTCTCATTTCTATTTGAAATGATAATTGCCAAGATTAACATAAATTGAGTTTACTGTATTTACCTGGTCATGAAAATGGCTTGTCCTTTATTAGTAATACATATTTGAGTTATATGTCAACAAGTATATTTTTTAGAACCTTAAAGTCTTTATTTTATTTTATTTTTTAAATATATTTTATTGATTTTTTTACAGAGAGGGAGGGAGAGGGATAGAGAGCTAGAAACATCGATGAGAAGAAGCCGATCAGCTGCCTCTTGTACACCCCCTAATGGGAATGTGCCCACAACCAAGGTACATGCCTTGACTGGAATCGAACCTGGGACCTTTCAGGCGGCAGGCCGATGCTTTACCCACTGAGCCAAATCGGTTAGGGCTTAAAGTCTTTAAATGAATAAAGAACAGGAAATGAAAAACCATTTTATGATACTATTTAGAAAGAGACTCCAAACCACAAATTACATAAAATAGCAGATATTAACTGAGAAATTGGGAACTAAGTTATATTTTCTGCTCTTTGTTACCAATGAAGTAGGGACTTTTCTTATGGCACGTAAATTACTACTAGTTTGCATTTAATGAGTGTACAGTTCAACCTAGTTAATCTGGGTTTTTTAAATTCACTTTTTAAAATATATTTTTATTGTTTTTAGAGAGGACGGTAGAGAGAGGGAGAGAATCATCCATGATGAGAGTGAATCATTAATCAGCTGCCTCCTGCTCTCCCCATAGTGGGGATCAAGCCTGCAACCCAGCATATGTTCTGACCTGACCCGGAATCGAACCATGTTAATCTGCTATTTACCAAAAAAGAATTTAGGCTTCTGCATTTTCAAATAAAACCCATTACCTTTCCAAAATCACAAATGAAAATTCAGACCATCATGTATATCAAGAGGGAAGAAAGAAATATTGATGTGAGAGAGAAACATTGATCAGTTACCTCCCATATTTGCCCCTAGTGGGGATCAAAGCAAACCCAGGTGTATGCCCTTACTGGAATCAAACTCACAACCTTTCACTATGTGGGATGACATTCCAATCAATTGAGCCACTCTGATTAGACAATGAGGTACATAATTTTTTAGAAAGTAAAATCTTCAGAATATATTTGGTCAACTAAAGTTTAATAATGTATCAATAATGAGTTTGTTCTGATTAGAGACTTTTTGTTTAATCTTTAAATTGTGCTATTTTCATTTATTTAAAGCTGTTTAGTATCTGCTAAAAACCAAGTGTAGATAAGTTGTGACATTTACTTGATATCTTTCATACACAAAAGGATTTTACCATCAAATAAAGGGTATTTGTGTAACTATACCATATAAGAGTATTTCTAGGGTTTGTGTTAGAGGTCTGGATTAAGTTATTTACTATTCATATCTCAAAGAACATGAATGTTTGGGAACTTAAGGCTTTAGGGCAGTTAACAGAGAACTGAAAAAATTAAAAGAACCTGATGGTAGATAGACCTTTTAGATTTTTCCTGCAGTTAGTAAGTGGAACTCTTCTGGATTGGTTTTTAAACAAAGAATATTACATTTGCATTTGAAAAATATTCCTGTTTTCAGTGATTCTGGCTATCTTGACTTCAGTCAGTTAAGTGCTACTCCCTCCCACACTGTTTATTCTATACACATTTCCCAGAGAGATTTTTCTTTAAAAAAAAAAAAAAAGCAAAAGAACGCTTTGGGTTTGAAAGTTTACATTTTAAATTTTTTTCTCATGAAGAGGGGCCTTTGAATAAGAACAAAAGGGATGGAACATAAGATTATGTATCTGTAGAATATGGAAGTAATTTAAATTTGTTTAGAAAAGAACAGATGGGCATATAAGTCAGGAATTTAGGAGTGGCTTTGATTAAAGTTAGAGAAAAGGACAGTGTTGCTTAGAACACCAGAACAAGATAATGAGAGGAAAAAAAAGAGAGATGCCAAAAATAACAGGAAGGGATAATATGGGTCAAATCAGAATTTTTGTAAAAAATTTAAAAATCATATATTGGCATAAGTGACAGCCTGAGCAGCTTTAGTGAAGTAATGGGAGTAGGTGAAATCTTTCCACAGTAGGGGAAAGATTGGGAATATGAAACGACTCAGTTCTATCCAGAACA